GTTCACATAAAGACTGAATCTGCTGTTGTAGAGGCAGGCGTTCTAATGAAAGTCCTTGAAACGTCAAAGGCACAATGAAGGATTAGCTTTGAATGGACACAATCTTACACCTATTCATCCTCCTGCACTTATTATCTGAGGTAGCACTTCTGCTCTTATTGTTTGCACTTATTATTCTTATTATGCTCAGCTTTTCAGCATTTCCATTTTGCTGATTTGCTGCGCGGATAATGAAGCCACGCAACATCAGCCTGCATACATACATACATAGATATCCTGTAAAGGCTGAAGAGAAAGCTGATGGGGCTGATGCACAGAAGCTCCTGCTGCACATCACTCCATGATGTAAATTTAATGCCACCATATGCTGATGTTTCCAGGCACCACCAGTGTTGATTAAATGAGTTGCTTGTGTCTGATGAAGAAGTAAAAAGTTTTGCACCATTTGTTACATTGCGGCGCACTATCTCCCCCTCTTCTCGATCATTTCTTTTCAAAGTAGAGCACAAAAATACTAACTTTAGCGGAGTGTAGATACTGTATTCTGGCCCTGAGCTGTGTGTTTTGTTTATGAGATATTTTAATTGTAAATAGAAACACGAGCGCACCAGAATCAATCTATTAATGTGGGAAACCATGAATTATGAGAGGAAATTAAACTACTTTCACGCACACACACACACACAGACACACACAAACATGGATAAACCGAGCGCACAAACACAGGGTTCGTAGGAGTACATTAATGTCCCAGCAGAATATACACATAACTACTTGATTGGCCTCAAGGGATGTAATATCTATGCTTTAATTTCAGATAGCAAGTAAGCATATCCTGTTACAAGCCATTACAAGAATTTAATGCCAGGCGCTGTGTTTGTTATGCTCTCATTTTATATCCTCACTTCTTAGGATTTAGCTCTGTTTGAGATGAGATGAAAAGATTTCTGCTATTTGGGTTACAGCTCGAGTTTCTTGTCTTGCAAAATTTACTCCCATAATTGAAAAATATTTCATTGAAAATAACTCTGCTGCTTCTTTCTCTTCTGTTAAGGCTGACTCACAAGTAGGAGTAAAGTTATAGAGACATAAAGTAGATGTAACTAATTGCTTTTCCCCTCTGGGTCTGTTGGTAATGCACTTTATTTTGGATGGGATTTTTTTTTTTTTTCTTTTTCTTTTTTCTCGGCGTGTATACGCACCACTGTGGCTGCTGGACAGAAGCATTTGTTTCCTGCCCTGGCTCTGGGCTCGTGTTGGTGCTCTCGCCAGTCAGAGAGTTGCTTCTGGCTCCGTTGTTTTGTGGAGGGGGGGGTGTAATACAGACAGAAGATGCCAAAGTAATGTTAGGTCATTACTCATTCCACAACCCACTGAGAACTGGGCAGAAATTAAAAAAAAAAAAAATAAAATAAAAAAAAAACCCAACAGAAATGTGCCAGTCAGGAGAAGCCAGAGGTGGAAAAAGCACTCAGACCCAACCAACACCAAAATATAAAAACATTCAGTTACTTAAGTTCTTAAGTGTTGCCAGCTAAACGAAAGTTTTAAAAGGTAAAAGCACTTGTTTGATAGGAAAATAGGCCCCTGTGCAGACTGAAAAAGTAATTCAGATAATTAATGTATATAAGCCACGTAATCATGAGCAAGACTTTGAGCATGTAATCGATATGTTACAGGCTCTCAGCTGTCATATAACGGAAGCAAAAGAGGAGGTCAGGCGACGTAGAATAAAGAGCGACAAAGTCTGCGTAAAGGCCCTGACACCCTAAACAGACATCGAAGAACTAGTGACCGAACTGAAGGCCAACTGTTGTGTCTCGTTGCACCTGAACACACCAAAAAGACTACAGCCAATGGCCAGCTTGCTTGAACGTTATGTCCCTGCGTGTGAGGGAATAACCCTTCATATTAACGGCCGACTGTCAGCCTGACGTGTCAAGGCCTTAAGGAGGAAAGTTGGGGTGGTGGATCGGTCAACTTTCATCCAGTCCTGCAAGTCAATGTTCAGTAATTTTAAGTCATGTTTGTAGGTAATGTCATGTCGACATGTCACGTTATGCACTTAATGTAACATGATGACCCTTAATCATGATTCTTTTCTTTAACCTAACCTAAGTGAGGTCGCTATCTCATAAGATATCATACAAGCCATCGTTTGAGGATATGTCGCCTGTTACTGAACATTTCATCATTGTAGCTGGTCGAGGTGGAGCTAGTTTTAACTTCCTACCTCGAGGTCAGACTCCTCTGAAGGGGCAAAAAAAATCTGAGGTTTGACTTTCCTCCAATCTTTGCTTCTTTGTAAAGTTCTATTTTGTTGAGTTTTACCTCTTTAATCCTCGAACAGTTATTTAAACAAAACCATCTGCGAAGTATAGACGGGAATCACCCCTTGGTGGCTCAACTTGTCGTCCCAGTCAGAATGACAGCATTGATCACTCCTCTAAGCTTCCCGTAATGTGACACAAGTAACAAAGCCCTCACCGTAATTATGATGGGAGCAAAGGAGGAAGTCAGGTGACATCATCACAAAGCGACAAAGTCTGTGTAGAGAGGAGGTCGGGCAACAACTGTCAGCCAACGGTTGCCTTTTTTGAGCATCTCCACGATCCCATGATCACGTTTCCTAACCATCATCTGACTTCATCAAGTATATTTCCACCCAAACCACGATGTTTCCTTGAAACTAACCAAGATTTTTTTGTCCCTAAACCTGACCTAATCATAACCAAAGGGCTGTCACATCATAAAGCTGACTATATGTTGCTCTAGAGCACATTGACAGATAATATAATTCGTCGTGTTATTTAGTGGACATGTTGTCTACACTCACTCATTCATTTAAAACAATAATTATGCCTGTCAAAAAAATGTAGTGGTGTAGAAAGACCATTATCTCCCTCTGAATTATAGTTAGCAGGACAGTATAAAGTAGCATTAAATGGAGATTGTGATGATCAAATTGTACTTAAGTAGAGTCGAGTTGTCTCAGTACTGGAATTTCTAACAGCGACAACTTTTCTTGGTCAGTAGCAGAGATCGGCAGAATGACTGCAGTAAATATTAAGACAGTGAGGAAGCGCAGTTGGTAGAGGTGTATTGATACTGAGGAAAAGTCAATTTATATCAGTGAGTCAATGTTTTTGACAACACTAAAGTGGAGTAAATGTTTCTTTACACTTTCTTTCCAATGTTACTCAAGCTACTGGAAGAACATAGAAAAAGTAAAACGGCCTTTGGCTCGCTCCGAACGTGTTTTGGGGTGTAATATAGGCTGATAAATACTGCGTTCCGGGGGGATGATGTTCATTTGTGACATCCTCATTTCATATTCTCGCCAGTTGGGCATGCCTCAGTTTTGAGGTGTAATATAGGCCTGCCAAATCAGCGGTAGCCCCATTACTCATCCCCCTCTGTGCTGTCTCCTGGCTTGTGCTCCGCCGCTAATGCAGATTACAGGGATATATGAGGGCTATTTTGTTCGCTGCAGGGTGGAAACGATCACAGGCAACCCCATCCCTCTCTCATGCATGATTCTACATCTGTTCCCCTCACGAAAGCCTATCAGGAGATCCATCAGAGCCAAGCCCTTATCAGATCTGAGGTTGCTACAGCTATTGCACATCAATTATAGATGCTATGGGTAAAAAATTGGGTCACTATATCAACACGCGCTCTCAATCCTCAGAGACATTGTTTGGTTAAGTGATTAGTGGCTTGACTTTAGATACAGTTTGTGCGTGTTATAAGTGTTAAATGGTCCATTTATGATACATGAGTATATAGACTCAGGGGCCTCTAGTGAAGGAGAATAATGCGTACTAATAATGGATTTGCCATAGTGATAATGTGGCTGAAACTTTCTTTGTACAGAAAGAAAGAGAGTGAATTAATCACAAATATCCACACTTTTTCATAATCTTTGAGGACCCTTGGTGCTTTTTATTTGTGGGATTTGTGCAGGTTGAAATCCACACAGGTATGAAGAGTATTATCATGATCGATAAACCCATTTTTTTTTTTTTTTTTTTTTCCCCTGTGAGACGACCTGCGGTGATAAACGAGCCGAGCCGCATTATTCGCAAGTGAAAATCACCCGCAACTTAAATTCATTTCCAACTTGCTCCCTGACAGAGAACACAGACGTATTATTCAAATTTCTGTCTATTCTGTGACCAGGACACGTCCAAAACCACACGTTTAATCTTTATGCAAGTCTCTCCTCATCTGTTGGGTAAATAGACCATTCATCATATTATTGGGCTTGTACAGCTTGGCTGTTTGAGTGATCTGTCTCTCAAACAGCCTCTCTCCCTGGCAGCCCAATCAATCATTTTTCAATGAAGATGTCACAGCTCATTGTGTGGAGTGTTATCCCAAACAATTTCCACTGCCTTTTAGATGATAAATTAAAAGCAAAACTTTTTTTTTGTTCATCAGGACAGTCGTTTCCTCTTTGTTAAATGTTTAAGTACAGTATTTAGCAGGGAGAATATGGAGGATTTTACCCACAAGCCTCGTGGTTTTACTCCTTAATTCACCCACTGTCAACAATTTTCACCTCAGCGGAGACGTTAGCAGGTGCAGGAATGCGCTCACTATTAACTTTTCATCAGGCATTGTAAACCGCACTAGTCATCAAGAAGTAGTTGCTGCTCAACAAGGGACATAATTGGTTTGTGGTTAATGGCTGCTTGAAGCGGTACGTTGTGGGTGTGTCTGTAAAATTGCAGTATGAGCTCTTTCATACTTTCTCGGGGAAGAAAGAAAAAGTTTTAAGGACTGACAGCTGAAACTCAACACTCAGACACGTCTCCCTTATTATTTGAGGTACTCAGCAAGCAAAAGATAATTCAGTAACGAAGCCATACGATTGACTTATTAAATAACCAAACAGCCGCAGAGGAGTAATAAGGTTTTCACTCTCATCCAGGTTGGATTATTCTTCGTCTGTGAACACACCTCATGTCTCCTCTCTCCTTTTGTTTCTGTCGCAGGGTCCTTCAGGAGCTGATGCGGGTATCTGCGACATCAGGAGCCCAGACGCTGCCGTCCATGTTCACCTGACACGAGGATGTGTTTCAGATAACACAAAATGCAGATAAATCACACACCAACATGAACCCTTGCTCATCACACTTCCTTCTGTTCAACCAAACAAAAATCTTTATCAGTCAAAATCATTATTCTCTTTGACAAGCCTCTGCTTGACGCTGAGTCATAGTGACACCAGGTACACTAATGAATATTAACTTCACAGTCTAATCATTTGCCTTTTAGATTACTACTTGAACCTGTAATGTGAAAAATAATTGAGTGGCTGAAGAAGTATTCAGGCGTGACACCACAGGTGTATTTTGCTTTCATAACATGTTGTCTTTCAGACCAGTAAAAAGAAATTGTCCCAAATACACAGATGTTTAAGATCAGATTTCTGTGAATTAGATAATGCTTTGTTTGAATATTTAAACATAACATTGATGTAAACTTGTAATAAATAAAGTAATTGTCTTAATGTAAGAGATACACTGGGGAAGTTTCATGGTGATATCTATTAACAGTTTTACCCTGACTGCCCATTAGATCTAAAATTTACTCTGTTACAAGGGCACCAATGCAATCAAAATTTTACTGAAATAAAAGTATGTAAGTATCATCAGCAAAATGTACTCAAGTAAGTAAATAATGGCTCATTTAATAGTGATATTGTAATTATTAGACATGTTATTAACTTTTTACAACTGGTAAACTACCATATACGAGGCATTTTAATGTAGCTGGTTGAGGTGGAGCTGATTTTAACTTCATTATAAACTGTTAATCTACAACAGTTCATCGTATTATGATGACCTGATCATATATTTTTTATTCTAAAATCTTAATTTTCTAACTTACCTTTTCAGCTTGTACAATAGCTAGCAAATAAATGTAGTGAAATAACAATGCAATATATTCCTCTGACATGTAGTGCACTGAAATTGGAAAGTAGCGTGTAACAAAAGTAAAAGTACAAGACCATTGTGGTGCGGCAACTTTAGCAGTTGTACAATATAAAAGTCATGCATTATAAATCCCAATTAAGTAACAATACAGATGTATTCTCAGCAAAATGTACTTAAACTATCAAAAGTAAAAGTACTCGTGATCCACAACCAATTTATAATAATGCATTAGAATTTATAACATGACAGCGGTTGAGAAAGTATTCAGGTCCTTACCTTCAGTAAGAGTAGCAGAGGTGTGGACTCGAGTCACAAATTTGATGACTTGAATCCCAACGTGACAAAATCAAAAAAGACTGCCAACTGGACTTGGACTTTAACACCAATGGCTCGTGACTTCACTTGGACTTGAGCCTTCCCCCAAAGATTAGAAAGAATGTTATTTGAAAAGTGTCAATTGATTTCTCTTCATCTCCTGAATCCACTAACATTAATGCAGTTCATTCCCAGCAAGTTGACACTTAGCTCCAGATCCACTTTGTCTGAACCAGTCCGACAGCATCCAGTCAAATTGCACGACAGAGTTATAAAGAGATAATGTTACATGACTGAGCACCAGTTGGAAACAATGATGCCAAAGATCATTTCTTTCATGTACAATAACTATGAGGTGGTCGGCAACAACTTACAACAAACTTGCCTTAGCAAATAAGTACAAATTTTAAATGTCATATATTATTACTCTGTTGTTAAATGGTATTACATTTGGTGAAGCGTGCATTTGGACCTGTTTAGGACCCGAACTCTGGCTGTCTTGACTTGGGACTTAAGTGCAAAGACTTGAGACTTGCAGAACAATGACTTAGTCCCACCTCTGACATTCAGATCTTTCGTATATAAAAGTAGCAATACTGCAATATAAAAGTCATGCTTTATCATTTCTGCTTAAGTGTAAGTACAGAAATACTCTCAGCAAAATGCACTTAAACTATCAAAGTATATAGTATAATATCAAGCACTCAGTGCAGAAAAAATCCTCTGAGTGTTATACTATTAAATATTATTAAATGATAATAACTGATGCATTCAAGTGTCGGCAGCATTTTAATGTTGCACCTAGTTAAAGTGAAACAAATTTAAACTACTTTATATATTACAGAATAATTAAGTCTATAAGAGTGCATCATATTTTAAGTACAGTACTTAAATGAATCAACTTACTCTAAGTTAATATTTTAACAGCACAACAGCTGCTCGACTTGTGTTTTTAAAAGTTAAAACTGTCCTACTTTATCACGAGTAACTGCCGCCTTTACACTCTGAAACCAAGTGCGCAGAAACTCAACCCTTTCACAGTCCAATTAGTACGATTAAATGTAATCTGTTACCTCACTGCCCACGCCTCGTCTCATGAGGCCTCACAGAGGATTTGTGAGGCTCTGCCGGTCCTTTCTTTGGGTGCGTCAGCCCCCCAACACCACCACCACCACCACTTCCTCCACCTTCCCACCCTCAGTGCACCACAGTTGCATTATTAAACTTGTATAAGATCATTAGCATACAAAGCAGGAAGCCTACCGCGGTGGAGTCATACATATTTATCTGGACTTGCCTGACTTGTGCGTGCATACACTCATACTGTAACCCCTTTACACACAGGCGTGACTGTCTTCCTGCTGCAAGAGGGCTGCGAACAGAGACTATGAAGTGGATGTTACTAGAAGCACGTCCACTTTTAGGGGATAAATATTTATCCGTGCAACATCTGAGGAAAGACGAGCTGGCTTTTGCCGTAAACTACTAAAACATGCGTGGCTGCCTGTAAGACTGGGGGGAAAAAAAGGTGTGTATTTGGAAACAGAGCAGATGGAGTTTGGTTAGGTTCATCAGAGCAGTTTGCTCCGAGCATATCAAATACAGTTTACACACAGAGGAATTTCAGTCAAGTAATGCTTGCGATGCATATTCATCTGCTGCACTCAGAAGCACATAATCAAACAGAGAGAAAGACAAACAGAGGGCTTGGTCTGGTTAATACATGTATCACCTGTGGGTTACCTCTGACTTTTAAATGACTGCTCCTTCTCTCTCTCCTTCCCTTGTTCCCTTCCTCCTCTAACATGCTATCCCTGCTTCCCTTCCCTTTTTGGAGATCACTTTCCACACTCTCCACCTTCCTGATGAGAGCACATCCCTTCCTTTCTTTTGGCAACGTGGAGTCCTCCGTTAATATTCCTTCCTCCTTCCTTCTTTTTCCTCCCTCCTGTGAGATTGCTGTTGTGTCTTATGGCTTTTTATTCCTACGTGATGGTAGATGGGTTCATGTAGGAGTAGAAGCCACTAAACACGCGGTGAGTGCTCAACGCGCTGGCCAACACACACAGCGAGCTTCCTGTGGATATGACAGCTGCCATGTTCACATCAATGGTCCTGCCCATTATCAAGAGTACGCACACAGTAAAAATAGTACAGGGCAATCACTGCGGGGATTGGCTACTGTTTCAGGTTATTGTCTCAGAGCAGATTTGTAATGTGGAGAATGTTTTAAATGACTTCATTAAATGGTTATTATAGTTAATTGAACAATTGGTTTTAAGAGAACAGAGCAGAATGGGGATGTAAGTGTGTGCTGACAAATCAATCTGAGCAAAACTGAAGTTGTGAATAGACCTACTTTTTCCACAAAGACTTCCCACCTGCATGTCGGCTGCATGTGCCCTGAATTTCAAACTCATTCCTGCATTCCTGTGCCCCGAGGTCGCTGTGCAAAACTGGAGCTGGATAATTCTCAAAATAGAGATCGGGAGGAGTGGATGCCACAATTAAAATGAAACAACTTGCAGAGGTAGGTTATCAATGTTGGTTAATCATGTACAGCTTCTGCAGGCTGTTTATTCTCTTCTGAAGCAAAGGTGAGAACATGCAAAGACTTGTTACAAGACAGTAATGAGTCAGTGTGATACTTTCATGACCTTCAGAAGTGTAAAAATAAACCCTCTCTTGGAAAAAGAAAAGCACATGTGAATGTCACACATTCATCATCACATTTTATTTGTTGTATGTATTTGGAAATATTACATCACAAATATTAGAATATTTCGTGAGCTATGAAAAGCGTCCAGTTTTCAGCTTCGTGAATGTATTTTTTTAAAATCTAATGGTTTTTATATGATCTAATTATAAAATCAACAATGATGAATATTCACTTCTCTTTCACTTACATTTAGTGCAAGCGATGGGGCGAATAAAACATTCGCTTCAGGTGGCAAAGCAAATTCGCATCTTCGCATTGCAATGGAGTTCAACTTTGGTAGTTTTGAGCGGCGAAGTCACAGCCTCAACCAATGGCAAAGAAGTATGTGTAGAGGAGACGTTGATTGTTGCCAAAATATACAAACTACCCCACATGAGAGATGCTGCCTGGCTGATGGTGAGTTAGGAAACAGGCTTGGAATGTAAGAAAATTTTTCCCGCCAATGTCACCCTCGACACCCAGTTACTGCAAATATATATATGTGTGTGTATATATACTTTGATCAGTGGGCCATACGCTCAGTCACCATTATGTTACCTCATTTGGTGACAGAATTTGACAGACCAACACATTTTCTCTATGACCTTCTTGCATATAGACATTTGGGCATGGACTTTCCACATCCAGATACGACACGCAAGGTACCTTGGGTGCGTTGGTTGTTGACGTTCTGGGACACCGTGTCAAGTCCTGCCTGTTCCTGTATTCTGTGTTTTTTTCACAGGAAATTTACTGTTTACATACAGTCACTTTCAAAATAAACGCACTACGTCAGTACAACACTGCAAATTGACCATTTTCTTCCTTCAACAACAAATGCACGCAGTTGGATTTAGGAAAAAAGAACAGGGTTTGGCTTTAGAATCTTACGGGAAGTGTACACTGCTCTCCCAGGTGAAGGTCTGTGTTTGTTGGACCCACCCACCACCACTCCCACCCCCTCTTCATGGACTTTTGACACCTTTCATTCTTGTCCTGCCGCGTTTCTCCCTGATGCTGCCGGCCGCAGTTAAACTGTAATGGCAACCAGTGGCATATCATGCCTACATTAAAGGGAAGCTTTTTTCGTTGGGGTGTGACGCAGGCAGTCACTGCCCAAGTGCCGGATTTGCACTTGGCAGAGAAGACTTGGCAAATTTTTCATGGGCGCAACCCACATACTCATCTCTGCTGCTCATCCCACAAATGCATGTTCCTTAAAAATGTGGCACAATTTAAAAGGGAAGTAAACGGGCTTTCCAACAGTATAAGATTTATTGCCAAGAAGTATTGTTACAACAAAGAAATAATCTACCAAACACAAATTTCCTTACTTTTTGTGCTTAGTTTATATACATGGAACACCAGGGAAATGAGTATAGGAAAATGAAAAGTAAATAGCCAAATCTGCACATACCATATTCTCTTGTTTGTTTTCTAAGTTGTTTATTTTTCTTCTCATTAGCTCTTATTCTCGCCAGTAAAAAATACAATAAATATAAAAGATAATAATAAAAATCAATAATAGAATTAAAAAAAATTTGCAGAGGGCTCTGAATGTGCCGGGTAATATAAAGCTGATATAGCAAACTTGTTGAAAGACTTAATTGTTCAGTTTGGCGTAAAAATTTAAATGATCTAAATCTGAATAGTCGTAGTTTTCACTGGACAGTGACTCGGTTTAATTAGACCAACACTATTCCTTTAAAG